CACACACACACACACACACACACACAATCAATTGAGCACCCTCAAATTTTAATAATGATGATTAAAAAAGCTAGCTCTTTTTTTAAAACATCATTAAGCCTTCATATTGTGTATCAATAAACTGCAAAAGGTTGACAAGCTGCTCGTGTTTCCTTCTTGCTCCCCTCTGAACAGTGATGAGTTGGTAACAGTATACGCCTCGCTTTGCTCTCTCATAAAAGAAACTCTTCATATTTAACAATTTTCATAGATTTTAGCTTTCATTTTTTGTTGTTGGTTGTAGATGCTATAATTGCATCATCTTTTAATAACATTTGGAAAGACACAAAATAAAGTGAAACAAAGTAGAACAAAACTTTAAAAAATCAGTGAGAGTCATACTGAGTGTTTTAAAACAAAAATGTAGATCTATACCCTAATATTTAAAATTTTTAAAATTTTAATTGTTTCAACTTCAAGTTTATAAGCATTGTCTTTCTGCGTGATTCATCAACCGAGCCTAAACATTTCACACAACATTCTTTTTCGCATCCTGATGGGTTTTTTTCGATTTGCTATTAGAAGGCAGAAAATTTAGAACCCTCCTTGCCACATGCAGACAAAGAAATGACTCAAAATAACACAAGTCGAGGTTTTAATTTTGCGTTATACATAAAAATAATATTTTAATTTGTAATAGCCAGATTCAGAACAAAAATTAAATGTTCATGACACATGAACAATCTTTATGATAAAAAAAATAAAAAATGAATAAAATAAAAAATAAATACAGTTTCTTACAAAAAGGAGAAAGATTTTGAGTTTCTACTAGGAAAACGCATTCTATAGAGAAAATTACCTGGGTAAAGAACAAAAAGCACATTGTTTCTTAAAGTTGAGAGTCGAAACAAGAGAAGCAAGACTTATACCTTGAGATTAAACTGTAATTAATAGTCTGTACTACACGTCTTATAACAAAAAATTCCGTTTGCAGAGAGTGGTGTCTTTGTATTCTTGCTATGCTTTCGGATCTCGTAACCAACGACTGTCCCAGACACAGCTATCTTATATAATATGACAATGCATATATAACATCACTGATAATGGCGATGGGCCTTGAAGCACCAGTCAGCAAAAATCCTTCAAATTCATCCCGTCTTTATGCTCAGTCCATCGTGACACGAAAGTCTTTGTGGGACTGGATTGCCTGTAAAGGATACATCTCTTGTTGTTGTTAGTCCTGTATGCTCGTATCGGTGCTATCACGCGTATTTATTATAGTGTCGTGTAATTTAGCCTGATTACAGATAATACGGTTGTCTGTTACTAATAACCCCCACAAGGATATATCCGTCTTCTAGATATCTTTCTTTTCCGGCCACAGGGAATATGATCTGCCCTGTACTTTACTCACTCGCCCAAACAGCGTTGATGGCTCTATAGGGTGAATGAGTTGGTTAACGTTATAGAGACAGAGGCACCGGCGAGTGGAGAGTGGCGGGCAAGGTGCCGTCCTGGAAAAATAGAAATCATTTTGCACACACACAAGGACAAAACACCCCCCCCCAAAAAACAAAAACAAAAAAAACAAACAACAACAACAACAACAACAAAACAACAACAACACACACAACAAAACAACAACAACAAAGCAACAACAACGACAAAACAACACACACAAAAACCCCCCAACCCAAAACAACCCAAAACAAACCTCAAAACCAGTCTTGAATTTTGAGATATAATAAAGTATTGACTGTTTATTTCCTTTTTTTTAGGTGACACCTTTCAATGTCAAAGCATGAGCAAATCTGAATTCCAGAATTTTAGTGAATGAAAACTCAACTGATAATTATTATCTATTTCAGAATAATATCACAAACAAGAAGTAAAGATATACACGCGCGTTGAATGCCACGCCCCCTATCCCCAATAATAACAATTACAATATTAACAAGGAGCGGCCTCTATCACAACTGACAACCACCACCATCATCACCATCCATCATCATCATCATCACATTAACAACAAAAACATAAAAATGAAAGCATCATCCTCATCATCATCATCATCACCATCATCATCATCATCATCATCATCATCATCATCATCATCATCATCATCATCAACAACAACAACAACAACAACAACAACAACAACAACAACATAACAGCTGGAGTAACAACACAACCAGCACCACCACCACCACCACCAACAATAACAACAACAACAGCAACAACAACAAAAGCCACAACAAATATCTCTCATCAGCTGTAACATTTATACGACGTCCAGCATGTATACTATGCACCCACACTCACTATTTATGTTGCTATTACCGAAACATTGATCACCTTTGCAAAGTTCACTGACCTCCCCTACCTTTCCTCTTTCCCTTTCCTTTGTACGATAACCCCCCCCCTTACACACATACTTACACACAAACACGCACACACACGCACGCACACACACACACACACACACCCACACCCCCCCACACACACACACACTTCCCCACAATCACCAACCACACGGTCAGTTGTGCAATGCCAAGTTGTCTTGGGTAAGAAACTCAAACATGGTCGCCATCCCCTTCAGAGTGCAACAAAAGCCCGGAAAATTAATTTCCACCCTCATGGTTTGGTAGCCTTCTTTATTCATGGCGGTTGTCCTACTTACGAGTTACTAGTTCCTGCACTTGTAAGGGCGACCACCCCGGACCTCAATGTCGGAGACAAGCACACGTATTGCCCACTATGGGCATACCATTACAACGGGAAGACTGGACTCTTTTCTAACACTCTTCACAGAATACTTTTTGTTAAGACTTTAAAAAAAATTGACACCAGTCGTCCTTATCTCTCTTCCTTTTCTTTTTATCTTTTTATCTTACCCTCTAGTAACGCCTCTAATTTCTGGCACTTCCACGTATAATATGACCTTTTTCTGTAGCAAGTGGTGTGAAACTTTTACTGAAACAAACAAGATTTTACGAACTCAAATCATTGTGTTGAATTCATGCGTTCATGGTAATTAATTCACGGCCATTTGTGAACGCACTTTTAAATAAAATCATATTATAAAGTTCTGTAAATCTT